TTCTCCTTGGGGAGAACATTAGATGAACACTGGCTTTCCTACTCCTATTGATTGTGGAGATGATATTAAATTAAAAGAAAGCAAGAAAACAACTTTGGCTTTCTTCTGTGAGGAATCTAATAAATTCTGTTCCGTGTGGTTTCATCTCATTTTCTTTCCTGCTGTATCGCTGCCCTGGCCCCAGCAGAGACAGGGTCCCATCAGGTGCAGATTTGTACAAGGAGAAAGTAAAGGGTACTTTTTTTTGTCCCTGATATTTTTTTTTCATCTTCAGCAGGAAACCCACGAAGCAGCACTCAACATAAAACAACATGCTGTGATTCTTACAAATTCAAGGTGAAGGGCCAAGAGAGACGTGGCAGGAGGGGAACAGGGTCTCCAAGAGGAACAGGGCTTGACAGGACATCTCTTAGGGATATCCAGGGGGAAAATCAGAGTGGGATGATGGATGCTTTGGAGCTGCCACCGCTCCTAAACTCATCCCTGGTCCTTGGGTCCAGACTTTTGTCTTATACCCTGGGGGATGTAAGACAGGAAGCTTGTTTGTGGTCGTTTGGGGGATGACGAAGAGCCAATAAACGTAAATCCTAACAGCTCAAAACCCAGTAAGGTATAAAAATGTCTCACGTCTTTTTAAACCCAGCGGGTTTTGAGCGCTGGGGATTTTCCAGTGTGTTTTCCCTGGCACAAATTGCCCCTGATTCTTCTGCTTTCTTATCTTTTCCGTATGTCCAAAAAAAGGAGCAAACCGCATTCATTTTCCTGCACCTTCCGCATCTCCCTTTCCCCTTAAAATAGAAAGGACAAGTTTTCTTGCTGGAGGTCAGCACTTATCAAAGTTTATGAGATCGGAGTGGAAGATAGAGCAGAGCAGGGCTGGCTGCATCTTTCCACATCCGAAGCTATTAAAGCTTCCTTGATAGAAAACGGTATTTATCCGAAATGCAATTATTCGGAAAATGGCCATGGCTTGCTTTCAGAACAACAAAAGATACCACAGTCAGCAAGATACAGTCCTACCAAGCAGAGTTAAACTCACCCCCTCCAAAAAAAAAGAGAAAGAAGACCTAAATATACAGTTGTCTCCATCTGCCTGAAATAACCGTGAAGTCTTTCAATAATTGGCTGGATGGAAAAGCTTACCCAAAGCCACAGTCCTCCTGTGGTCTGAAAGTGGTCTGATTTATTTCAGGCTTGTTTTTTTTTTTTTATGTAGAAACCTAATGTTGAAACTTCTGGTCTGAGTAAAAGAGGAGGTTTCTTTTGCTGAATTTGATAGTGTGTGAGTGCTGGGGCTACCTCGGAGGGGCACGGATGAAACATTTGCTGCCTGTTGCCACACAGGACTCTGTTTTTCATGGTTGTTGACTTAAGGACTACTAATTAAGGGCTGTTATTAAGGACTACTGCAGCAGTTCATGGGATCCAGGATTTATCTGGGGGCATTAACCATCAGCAAAGAGCAAAGAACCTCTTGGTGTGCCCCAAGAGATTATCATCTAGATCCTGTCCCTAGCTGATGAGCAAGAGACTTCCCAAAACCGTGGCAAGCACACGCAGCCGTTGGCTACTAAACTGAGTGTTGAGGAGGTAAAACCCTGTGTAGAAACACAGTTGAGAGAATTATAGGGAAAATATGCTTTGTGTGCTCAAGAAGTGAGCTGGAGTTGGTTTAACACCCTGAGACGGATTGGTCAGGAGGCAAAGTGGGGTCATTGAGGTAGAGCAGGCAATGGGAGGACCCTCAAGTGATGAATGGGTCTTTTTAGTCTGGAGAAGACTGAGGGGGGATCTGATCAATGCTTATAAATCCTTAAAGGGTGGGTGTCAGGAGGATGGGGCTGGTCTTTTTTCAGTGGTGCCCAGGGACAGGACAAGAGGAAATGGGCACAAACTTGAATATCAGAAGTTCTATCTAAACATGAGGAGGAACTTCACTTTGAGGGTGGCAGAGCCCTGGAAGAGGCTGCCCAGAGAGGTGGTGGAGTCTCCTTCTCTGGAGACATTCAAACCCCACCTGGACACGTTCCTGTTCAACCTGCTCTGGGTGGCCCTGCTGTGGCAGGGGGTTGGACTAGATGATCTCCTTCCAGCCCCTTGTGATTCTGTAACGTCCTGGAAAAGAAACAGTTATCTTCTAATGAAGCAGAGATTATAGGGAAAACATGCTTTGTGTGCTCAAGAAGTGAGCTGGAGTTGGTTTAACACCCCGAGACGGATTGGTCAGGAGGCAAAGTGGGGTCATTGAGCTAGAGCAGGCAATGGGAGGACCCTCAAGTGATGAATGGGTCTTTTTAGTCTGGAGAAGACTGAGGGGGGATCTGATCAATGCTTATAAATCCTTAAAGGGTGGGTGTCAGGAGGATGGGGCTGGTCTTTTTTCAGTGGTGCCCAGGGACAGGACAAGAGGAAATGGGCACAAACTTGAATATCAGAAGTTCTATCTAAACATGAGGAGGAACTTCACTTTGAGGGTGGCAGAGCCCTGGAAGAGGCTGCCCAGAGAGGTGGTGGAGTCTCCTTCTCTGGAGACATTCAAACCCCACCTGGACACGTTCCTGTGGGACCTGCTCTGGGTGGACCTGCTTTGCCAGGGGGTTGGACTAGATGATCTCCTTCCAGCCCCTTGTGATTCTGTAACGTCCTGGAAAAGAAACAGTTATCTTCTAATGAAGCAGAGAGTAGGCAGGGATATTTCTGATTTAAGATCTTCATCATTAACGTTCTGCTTGCAATCACTGGCTCTGCAAATAACTTTCGGAGGAGCTGCTTGATTGCTAAAAGGCTCTACATATTCCTGAGTACGGTGACAACATAGTTTTATGTAGCCTGAAGAAAAAAAAAAAAGAAAAAAAAATATCTGTTAAACTGCTGCTTATCCAACATTAACTACAGCAATTTTTAATTAACCTGATTTAGAAGCCAAATATATCACTGATGAAAATGAGAGGGTAGAACATACAGTCATTTATTCCAGTACACTGGTCATGAGTGTTGAATTAGATTTATTCAAATGAACCTCAAAATTTTGCCGCAGTAGTCGGCTGTGTGCCGGGTGCCAGGTTTTAGAAATCTGCTCGTCGTCGAAGAGCAAGGAGCTTTGGGGCACGGGAGGGAGAGATTTCGATGTGTTTCTGTTGCTGCTTAGAAAAGGGGAGGAAAGACCCACTCACGCTTTTGTTTAATAAAGCAATAAAAAAAAAGAAAAAATACCCTGGTGGGGTGTGAATCGACTGCTAATTACCTCTTTCCAGCCTTTGTTGGCAACCAGCAGACAGTGTCAGTGGAGCTTGGCGTGGAAGGACTCTCCAAGGGTCATTTTGTCTGCCGTTGGGTTGACTCTGCTCTGGGACGTTGGCCAACGAGACGGGCAGATAAAGCGGGGCAGGGGCCGTGGCGGTGAAGCACAGCAAAGCCAAGCTCTCTGCCAGCAAAGGAAGATTAACGTGTCCCTTTCGGTCTGTCGGAGGGATTTACACAGGAGCATGTAAGAAAGGATGGAGGTAGTCAAGTGTTAACATTTTCAGTCAGGAAGACTTCCAAGAAATGGAGGTAGAGCAGTAAAGAAAAGCAAAATGGGGCAGGCCAAGGTGTGGATGTTGTTGTCTGTGGTCTTCATGCTCTGGTGAGACCCCACTTGGAGTACTGTGTCCAACTTTGGAGTCCCCAACATGAGGATGTGGGCTTATTGGAAGGTCCACAGGAGGGCCATGAAGATGCTGGGAGGGCTGGAGCCCCTCTGATGGGAGGACAGGCTGAGAGAGTTGAGGGGGTTCAGCCTGGAGAAGAGAAGGCTCTGGGGAGACCTTATAATGGCTTTCCAGTATGTGAGGGGGGCTACAGGAAAAACTCTTCATGGGGGAGCGTTGCAACAGGACAAGGTGCAGTGGTTTGACCCTGAAAGAGGGGAGATGAAGCTGAGATGTGGGGAAGAACTTGTTTGGTGTGAGGGTGGTGAGAGCCTGGCCCAGGTTGCCCTGAGAAGCTGTGGCTGCCCCATCCCTGGAGGGGTTCAAGGGCAGGTTGGAGGGGGCTTTGAGCCACCTGGGCTGGTGGGAGGTGTCCCTGCCCAGGGCAGGGGAGTTGGAACTGGATGGTCTTTAAGATCCCTTCCAACTCAAACCATTCTGTGATTCACAGAGGACAGGAACTTCTAATGAAGTAAAAGTTTGGTGCCAGACATCTGCACTGTGGGTGGGTGCACAACAGGGACTTGGGTCTTCAGCGTAAGGTCATTTCCAAGCCTCCACGTAGTTGAGTGCTCAGATGATTTCCCCTGAACTCCCTGTGACTGATCCAAGTGAAGATGATGAAAACTGAAGATGCTCTGCAACCTTTTCTAAAGTGCCCATTAAAATCTCGATGTGGCTTCAAAGGGTACGAGCTGCCGTGCGTGTTCCTTCCAGGTGGCCTGGCAGGTAATTGGGTCCCTCCCAGGGATGGCAGTTGTGCAGCCATGGGTGAATACAAGGGCTGGCATGTTTTCATGCAACGTCTCTACCTTCCCTTTAGCAAGATGCTCTGGTTAATGGAAGTGCTGAGGACTTGGGCTGGGTGCTGAGCTTTGCTTGTTAGAATCCAAAATGCTACGATGATGGAACTACGATGGCCACGAGGAGCCATCAAACCCTTCAAATACAGCTGTGCTGGTGGTTTTTCGTAGCTGGATTCTGCATTCAGCCTGTGTATTTTCTCTGTAGTTTCCTTCAGAGCGCATTGAGCATTCCTGCATTCTGGTTATCGTCCTCGTTTTCTAGGGGAATAGAGATGAAATATTGATGATGTCACGTGGAGGTTTGTAGAGCAGATTTATAGTTCTTCCTCTACCTTGGCCAACGGAGACTACATCAGTGCTTTACCTCTCGGCTGTGCCGACGGCCTCTTTGCTCACACAGGTTGTTTCTTGCTTTCCAGAGATGCTTTCTTCTTCTCTCTCCCTGTTGTCAAAAGCCTGATTTCTCTTTTTTTTTTAATTTTTTTCATTTTGTTTCTCGTTGCAGGTTATCCGACGGGCTATCCCACCGCTGCCCCAGCCTACAACCCAAACATGTATCCCACCAGCAGCCCCGGCTACGCCCCAGGTAAGAATCTGTGTGTGATGGAGGAGAGATGGGGGGTTTGAAGGGTGTGGGAGGATTTACCCTTTGCTGCTCAGCATCCAAAACCCAGCAGTTTCCTTGTGTTCATCAGCAAATACTTCCCAGGGAAAGGGCTCCTGTCAAGCTCTTCCCTTCCTCTCTCTGCCGTTAACTTCACGCCCTCCATTGGGAAGATTTGTCTGTGTTGCAAAGCCATGAATTATATCTTAATATTTATTATTATATTTAATAAAATATTAATATTTTACAATCCTCGTCACTGTGATACCTGCTCATCAATGGCTTTTCTTGCTTTCCAGAGATGCTTTCTTCTTCTCTCTCCCTGTTGTCAAAAGCCTGATTTCTCTTTTTTTTTTAATTTTTTTCATTTTGTTTCTCGTTGTAGGTTATCCAACGGGCTATCCCACCGCTGCCCCAGCCTACAACCCAAACATGTATCCCACCAGCAGCCCCGGCTACGCCCCAGGTAAGAATCTGTGTGTGATGGAGGAGAGATGGGGGGTTTGAAGGGTGTGGGAGGATTTACCCATTGCTGCTCAACGTCCAAAACCCAGCAGTTTCCTTGTGCTCATCAGCAAATACTTCCCAGGGAAAGGGCTCCTGTCAAGCTCTTCCCTTCCTCTCTCTGCCGTTAACTTCACGCCCTCCATTGGGAAGATTTGTCTGTGTTGCAAAGCCATGAATTATATCTTAATATTTATTATTATATTTAATAAAATATTAATATTTTACAATCCTCGTCACTGTGATACCTGCTCATCAATGGCTTTTCATATTTTCTGAATACCTCATGCTATTGCCTTCCCCTTCCCCCTGCTTCTCTTTCTCTCCTCCTTCCATGCCATAGATGCAGAAACCATGTCCTGTTTGGATCAATCATGCCATGTATTTACTGTCCTCCTCTTTTCTGTGGCACTGATGGACTCCGGGTCTGTCCTAGTGTCTTCTTCTGTCCAGCTCCTGCCTTCACAATGCCCTAAAATGGCTCTTCCAAAGATGTAGTAAGCTATTCTGGCCAAACTCAGGAACTCCTCTGCCGTAGCCTTGGTGTGCTGATTATCTTTGATGGCACCAGCTGTGCTCTTCTCCATAAAATCTTGGTTTTCCTTGGCTTTCCCAGTCTGGCCAGCTGTTTTCTACCTCTGCTGCAGTGTGTCCATTTGGACATATTTGTCATCTGCCTCTTCTCATGAAAGCTCAGCCAGGCTGTGTTCCTTTATTCCCTTCTCCTCTGTATCCAGGAAACCTTAACTTGTAGGTACAAGGTCTTCATTTTTCAGGGAGGTCTTAATTTTCCACACCAGCCACGTGCTTTTTTGCATCCTCCTTTTGCAGTTCCTCTGAACCATCCTACCAGCCAGGTTGATGGGTACCATGTTCATCTTCCATAGCTCAACCCCTGTCCCTCTGCCATCTTCAACCTTGGCAAATTCTGCTCCGTCCTTCCAGGGAGCTGGTACAAAAATAATTTTCTCAATTTGCTGCTTTAACCATGTAATCTCCCTCTTTGTCTACCTCCTGCTCGTTTCCCACACAGATTATATGTCTTTATTTACAGAAACAACACCCTCTCCATTCATTCTTGGTGTCCAGGACCTTACTGCTCTTTTGTCTGTATCCAGGAAACCTTAACTTGTAGGTACAAGGTCTTCATTTTTCAGGGAGGTCACTTCTCCTCTGTCTCCAGGAAACCTTAAGTGGAGGTACAAGGTCTTCATTTTTCAGGGAGGTCTTAATTTTCCACACCTGCCACGTGCTTTTTTGCATCCTCCTTTTGCAGTTCCTCTGAACCATCCTACCAGCCAGGTTGATGGGTACCATGTTCATCTTCCATAGCTCAACCCCTGCCCTGGAACCCGGCACTCTCTGCCATCTCCAACCTGGGCAAATTCTGCTCCATCCTTCCAGGGAGCTGCTACGAAAATAATTTTCTCAGTTTGCTGCTTTAACCATGTAATCTCCCTCTTTGTCTCCCTCCTGCTCGTTTCCCACACAGATTATGTCTTTATTTACAAAAAAAACTCCACTCCCTACATTCATTCTTGGTGTCCAGGACCTTACTGCTCTTTTGGCTCAGCCAGCAATGTCTGTCCTTCTGTCCTCTTCACCTCTCCATTGTCCCTGCTGCTTCTCTCCCCTCATCACCCACAAAACCATTTCTCAGTTGAATTCCTCCATTAGCAATGGGATTATGTTTTTTTATGAAAGCCCATGACCAGTTGGCCAAGCTCTTTCCCTTCCCTGCTGTTGAGCATCATTTCTCCACACCTCCCTTCTGTCTCTTTTCTGCTATTGTCTCTTGGCCAAACACCTACCCAAGCCATGGCTCTGGTTCCAACTGCTCTGGGGATTCAGAGAAGGGTCTGGATGGAGGAGGACACACACACAGGTTTGGGACCTTCCCTCCTGGCCAGAGAGAGCTGGAGAGGAGAAAGCCATCAAAGCATGTGGGTGGCATAAATACAAACCCCATCATGCCCCGTCCATCACTTTGAGGTTGAGCACTTCATCTACGTGAGGTCGGGAAACAGGGAAATTGCTTATGGGCAGGGGTTGCCAATGGTAGAAGATTTATGTAGATTAGGACAGAATGTAAATTAATCACGGGAGCTGCTGGCAAATAGCTTCCAACAAGGACACTTCTTATTCCAGAAGGTGACCTTCCACTGTTTCCAAGTCAGAGAAGTTACTCTGAAGCAAGAGTCATGGTGTAGCAGGAGTCATCCCACCTGTCCACAAGGACTTGTCTTCACCACAGCACGAACTAATGAGGTTCTGTGCTTAATGAGGAATATTTGAGTTGCTCTGCTAAATCAATCACTTGCGTTTTTATGCTTTCAAGCCTGAACTTGGAAACCTTTGTAGAAGTCTTTTTCTTTTTGGAGTTGAAGACTCCTCTTAGGCTTCCACCAGGAAATAATTTAACTGAAGTCAAACCTACATTTAAGTACTTTACTGAAACCAGCCCTTTGGAAGAACCAAGTGACCTTGAGTTTTTAAAGCGTGGTCAAGTTCTCTGCTTTTAGCAAAATTACCTGGGGGTCGGGGGCCTCTTGGCACAACAAAGGGCGATAGAAACCCAAGGGCTAAGAACCAGTTTCAAAATGTAACTTTAATCCAGAGTGAATTAAAAGAAATGTAGCACAAGAAAAGGAAATCTCCTATTTAATAGCAACCTTGAGATCTCGTTGCCTGGAGGAGTTGTGGCTGCCCCATCACTGGAAATGTTCAAGGCCAGGTTGGATGATGCTTTGAGCAACCTGGGCTGGTGGAAGGTGTCCCTGCCCATGGCAGGGGGGTTGGTTGGAACTGGATGATCTTTGAAGGCCCCTTCCAACCCAAACCACTCTGTGATTAGAACTTTATTTATTAGCTGTGGGATTTCTTTTTAGGCTGTAGTGTGTTGTCAGAGCGTTTTCTTTAAGGGATACAGTCACGTAGGTCAAACGCGATTGGCGGTGTCTGAGCTGTGCTTGGAAAAGCATTTCTGAAATGAGGACTGAGCCATTTTTTTATGGGTTTTTATGAAAAAGGCCGGAAAAAAAAAGAAAATAAATCTCTTGCTCACCCATTTCCGAGCACACGCTGGAGATGAAAAAAAATAATATCTTGCCCTTCGTTTTGACTTCGTGGCTTTTCGCTTGGCTGAGATGTTTATTCTGAAGGCTTCGCCTCAGAGGAGCTGTGGGATTTTAAAACTTGGGAATAAAGCCCTCTTTTCAGCTAAGTGCTCGGTAGTCATCGGAGTGAAATAGATGCTTGCGTAACGAACACAAAGCCGGACTTTGTGGCGGTCTCCTTAAACCCTTTCTCCTCCAAATTGCCAAGTTTTCAGTCTCTCTCTCTCTGGCTGTCGTAAAACCAGCGGATCCCCAGACTCGAGAGCTTTCCAGGGCTGATGAAGCAGGAACGAGGGTTTCCTTGCCAAAAAACTTTTGGTGCTGTCTTCTCCTCATCACAGTTTAAATTCACTGTTGTTTTGCAAGGTTATTAAATAGAGCCGTTTACTGCGGACGACTCTGGAAGGGATCTGTTGTTTGGTTTTATGGGCTTCTGGTTGGGTTTTTAGCTGCATTTCTTCCCACTGAAAAGTTTTAAGGTGTAATATGAAACAAGTTTTGCTCCCCTAGATGTGTGCTGGCCACCCTCAAATTCCCTTGAAGGATATAAGACTGAAAGAATAAAGGGAAAAGAGCTCCATAGCATTAAAAAAAAAAACCCACAAATGTTGCCAGAGGCTGGCAATGTCCCCCCTGCTCAGCCAGGGATGTAAATACATCAACGTTCTTGCCTATTGGCCTGGACATCATCATATGTCCCTTTTGGAGATGGCCAAGGGGACATCCAAGTCAGAGGGAGCACCAAATGGAGGAATTTTTGGGGAGTCCGTATCACTTCTTGTACATCTCGGACACCATCCTTGGGAGGCTGGAGTTCCTCTTAGACAGCAGCCCCCAGAAATGCTGCGTTGGCTCTCCAAACAAAATACTTCTCTTTCTCAAAATCTTGATGAAACCCACACATTCCCCTGGAAAGATTGTGTTTCAGCTCAGTTTTAATGTTCCAAATTAAAAATAAGGAGGGAAAAAAGAAAAAAGCAAACCACCACTAGGAAATTTTCAAGTTTTTTAAACAGTTGCAGCAATTGCCATATTTAGGGAAGATTTCATTTCCTTTTAGGTGTATAGACCTTAGATCTCTAACACTTCCAGCCCAGGTCCTCCTGTATTGAGTGGAGAGAAAGACAGACCTCCCCAGAGAGGTCTGTCCATCTTTATGGACAGGCTCCCCATGGGTGCCTCTCTGTCCTACCAGGAGAGCTTGAGATGAATCCAGGGATGTCCTTCATGCTCATGAGGATCAGGAACCCAAGGGGAGGTTGTAGATGTTCTCTCAATGAACTCTGATATGATCAAGATACCCTCAGAGAAGATGACCTCTGGGATGATGTTTTATGGGATTGCTTCCTTGGCCTAGGTTGG